CCAAAAACTCCAATTGGAAAGCACTGAACAGGGAGAACAAACTGACAATGGTCTCCTGAAGCAAACAAAAGGCAACTCCACGCACTCAAGTTGGTTCTGCCATGTCCAAAACTCATCACTGGGCTTCCTGCTTGCATCCATGTCCACACCTCAGCCAGGGCAAGCCCTGAGCAGCCTCCAGCTCCCCTCGCTGTGCTAGGGACACGTGGGAGCCACAGCTCTCCCGCTGCTCAGCAGCATCCAAACTGTGACACCACCTCCTGAAAAGCAGATGTAGGCTGAGAAAGAAAGTTCAAAAGCCCACTCACTTCTGAGTTCAACTATGGAAAATGCAGTGCTTGCTCACTGCTAAGAACAAGGACTTTTCTGTGTAAAAATCCTAGCACTGATGTCTTCTTCAGAGCCTTCCCACGGAGAATGGGGGTGGGCAGCAGAAGGAGAAATCTAAGCTCAATTTCAGATACCTGTGTTCCCAAATACTTCATAAATGACAAATTGAAAGGATTCCCAAAAAGAGGTAATATCCTTAGTCCAAAATAAATACACTCATCCTCCATTGCTCTGCCCCCAAAATGCTTCTGAGTATTTTAAAAGGTGAAAGAACATCACAATAATCCCGAGTCAAAATCACCAGCACTCTGATCCAAATGATTCACTATGGTGATTTTAACAGCACAAATCCTGCCTTCCTCATATTATTAAGACTCCTTTTTGTTTGCAAGACTTCAGAAAAATTAGGCAGATTTTTGAAAAAGATATGACATAAAAGATGGTCCTGACAGCAGCCCAGTCACCAGAAGCTGTTTGTTCCCATCCTTCTCCTCCTATCTCACAGGGAACAAAGACAATTTTCCACCTCTCAGCTTCACAGATTTCCCCGGGGCAAAAAGAAGCTTGCATCAGTTCCTGAAAATAGTCGCATGGTATTTCTGCTGAAACTGCTTCACATTTAGGTCAAATCTTGAGAAGATCTGCAACCAGAGCTGAAGTGGATTTATGAGAGAACCTTAAGGTGCATCTTACACACTGAAATAAGGCACTAAAGAGACTCATGGGCAGGCCAAGATTCCAAGTCACTGGAAAGCCAACTAACATTTTGTGTACGACTCTTGTGAGAACAGAGCAGTGATTTTGTGGCAAGTGATAAAGAACAATGAACTTTCAGAGGAGCAAAGGTGCCTGGGAAATGCAGGGAGCTCTACTGTGAGTGCCCTCTGACAGGCAGTGGGAGACAGGGGCAGTAAAAAAGGGAAAGCCAGAAAATAATGTGACAAATCAACTCGGTCTTACAGAAGAAATTTAATCATGTAAGGCATTTAATCATGCCCTATTTTAAAAAAACAGGGGGAGGGGTATGATTATAATATAAAATGTGCCTTTCCAAATTCTCTTTGCTGACTACGTGCTAATGCTAATTTTACTGTCATTTTGTTGTTAAATTCATTTCACATTTTCAGAGCTGTTCACAGAATAATATAGGTGTATTGGGGATTTGGAAACTGAGCAGGCATTTATTCCTGTAACTGGCAGTCTGATAATGCTTCATAAACCCAAAATACATAAACATCAAAAGCATAACAAATATTTTTTTTCACTTTAACCCAATACTTGATTTCACCCAAGCATTGATTATTTTATTATAGATGCCTGAGAATGTTCCATAGTCACTGTGGAAGTTTTCTTAGCCTTTTGAATGAGTTTGTCATAGTTACATTGCCAAGGCATCAGAAATTTGCCATATTATTGCCAACACAAACAATTTTAGGCGTCTCTTGTGAACTACAGAACACACAAGTCTTGATACCAGATCCTCCTTGAATAATTATGTTTAAAAGAAGTTGGTGCCTCTCTGCACAGCCTGTATAACCAGGTGTGGCATCAGTTCTGTGATGCTTCTTTAGGTTTTATATGGACATTACATGTTTTTTTTTACCTGGGTGGCCCTGTAGCTAACACTGGTGCCATGTCCTAATAACCTTGTGTAGAAATATAACTGCTGTTGTTACCAGGAGCTCCGGACAGTGGATTTGCAGGAGTGGGCAAAGGGGAATCGTTCCTGTTGTCACTGTGGGACCGAGAGAGTGAACATGGCTCCTTCATGTTTGCTGGCAAATGACAGCTCTTGGATCCAGCTAAAAACCAAGGCAGGCACCAGCTGCACAGGGGGGGTCAGGATGAGACTGGAACAGGAATTGCTTCCTCAGCAGCAGCAATGTTTGTGACACAGCATCCCAGAAGTGAACACGCTGTCTTTATGCACCCTTCCTTCCCCTAAACACAAAAAGCTTTGGTTTCTTTTACAAAAGGGAAGGAAGTAAAAGGTTTTCCCTACTGCATGCAGATATATTTTCAGCATTCAGCACTGTCCTTTCATTCAAAATATGCAATGCTATTTTTATTCCTTGATTATCTAGCAGAATTCACCGTGGCCCAAGGGAGAGGTTAATTTTTGTACTGAATGTCCTATTCCCATGTGGCTTGGAGAGAGGGAATGTTGCTTCTCTTCATTTTGAAATGAAAATGCAGAATTTTCCTATTTCTAATTGATTTAAACCGTATATTATCTGCTACTCCTTTTAAAGGCAAAGTATTGCTTACTCTCAGAAATGTACAGTACAAAAAGGTATTCCTGAATGTTTTATTTTGGAAGGGTAAAGGCTTTTAAAATAAACAAAAGTAAATATTTCAAATACATTTCATACTGCATGTGGTAGGAGTGGCTCCATACAACACAATATGGATGATGCAAATCCAGCAGTTAATTTCTTTGAGACATACAGTATAATATAGAGACACTTCCAGATCTGGTCTTGTGTAATTGCCTGACCCTTTTTTTATCATTTAAATCCAGCCTACTTTATTAATTATTAATATTTTATTTTGCTATATTGATTGTTCAAGTTAGGAGAAAAAACCACCAGTTAAAAATTACTGACTTGCGAACACTGCAAGACCCTAAAAAACCTGCAAGCTCTGAGGATAAATATACATTTATTTTTTGAGAAAACGTGTCATTACCTGCAGTTGAATCAACGCAGAATGATCGTGCAATTAAATAGTCTGAATTGAAATTTAAAGCTGCAGACCATGATTTTTCCCTACTCCCAGTTCTGCTTGAAATATCTCACACCATTAAAAAAATATAATTAGCTTTAGATTTCCCCACAATAAATAACACCAGAACATACCTTGTGCTACCAACCTGAATTTTTAAAAAAAAGTAAGAGGCCACCTCAGTGTTTTTTGAGTTCATGAGATCTTTCAGACACAAAGCCCTAACAGAGTTTCCCGGTCAGAAGGCATCAGGAAGGCTCCTCGCTTATGGTAAACTTGGGCTTTAGCTTGACAGACCTTTTCCTTATTGTGCCTTTCGGGGACAGCGGCATGGTGTCCATAATGCTCTTGTCCTCCTCCAGCTGCCGGGCAGTGCACGAGGGGGTGGGCACTTTCACCGTGTTGCCAAATTTGGAGTAGTCCACCGAGTATCGCCCATCTTCCTCTGCCACGATGGGCACGAACCTTTGGCCCCAGAGGATTTCGTCCGCCAGGTAGGAGGTTCTGGCCTGGGTGGTGATGCCGGTGGTCTCCACCACCCCTTCCAGGATGACGATGATCTCCAGGTCCTCGTGGTGGTGAAGGTTCATGGGGGAGATGTCGTAGAGGGGGCTGTTCTTGTCTATCACGTGGTAGATGATGAGTGGGGAGACGAGGAAGATGCTGTTGCCCCCCACGGGGTTCTCCATCTGGATGTCGATCTGGTTGAGGGGCACCACCTCGCCCTCCAGGCTGGCAGTCTTCTTCACCACCTGCATGCGGATGGTGGCACTGATGATCATGCTCTTGCGGAGGTCGCCCACGCGCAGCATGAAGCACAGCCGGCCCTCCCGCAGGGCGATGACCGCGTGCTTGCTGAAGATGAGGGTCTCGGCCCGCCGGTGGGCCTGCGACGTCTTCATGAAGATGCAGCCCAGCATGATGGCATTGATCACCAGCCCCACGATGTTCTGCACGATCAGCACCAGGATGGCGGCCGGGCACTCCTCCGTCACCATGCGTCCCCCGAAGCCGATGGTCACCTGCACCTCGATGGAGAAGAGGAAGGCGGAGGTGAAGGAGTGGATGCTGGTCACGCAGGGCACGAAGGCGGCCGCAGAGCCCGCAGCCGCCCCCTCGGCGGGGTCCCGCTGCAGCCGGGTGCTGTGGTCCAGGTCCCCGTGCGCGAAGGCGATCAGCCACCAGACCATGCCGAACAGCAGCCAGCTGCACAGGAAGGACATGGTGAAGATGAGCAGCGTGTGCGGCCACTTGAGGTCCACCAGGGTGGTGAAGACATCCTGCAGGAAGCGCCCCTGCTCGCGGATGTTCTTATGGGCCACATTGCAGGCGCCGTTCTTGCCCACGAAGCGCGCCCGCCTCTCCCGCGCGCGGTACCGGGCGTGATCCGGCACATCCTCGGCCAGCCGGGTCAGCACGTACTCCTCGGGGATGATGCCCTTCCTGGAGAGCATGGCTCCGCCGGCGCCGCGCACCGCCCCGCAGCGGGGCCGGCCGGAGGGGCCGAGCGGCTCCGTGCGCGCCGCCGCCCGCGGCCGAGTGAGCGCCCGGGGCGCGGCCGCGCCGAGCGCGGAGCGCCGCAGCCCCGCCGCCGGCCGGCAGCGCTCCCCGCCGGAGCTGGGGGCGGTTCTCTGCCTTCTCACCCTCCTGTTCTTTTTTTTTGTATTTAATTTCCCTCCCGAGGAAGGGTTTCGGGCCGCGGTTTGTATGTAAAGGTTTGATACAGGACGGATTTGGTGCCTTCCGTTAGCAGGCGCTCCTTTGTGGGATGCCGTGGCTTCATGTGATTATGCCGTGAGATGGGGGCGGGGGGAAAAAAAGGTACTGGCCGATTTTAAAAAAGGGATTTGTAGTAATATATACTAATACTAATACTAATACTAATACTAATACTAATACCAATACCAATACCAATACCAATACTAATACTACTACTAATAATAATAACAACAAAACAACAATAGTAACATAACATTAAAATAACAACAATAGCAAACAACAATAATATTTTTATAAATGCCCATGCTGGAATTCACCTGCATTTCCTCCAGTCAGTAGGAGGAAAGCATTAGTCTGCTAAATCGCCAGGCAGCGGTAGGAAATTTGCAACAATAATAGTAGTATAACACTTAAATAACAATAACAACAAGCAACGACAATAATAATGTTTTTATGAATGTGTATGCTGAAATTCACCTGCATGTCTTCCAGTCAGTAGAAGGAAAGCATTCGTCTGATAAATCGGCAGGCAGTGGTAGGAAAGCTTGAAGAAACTGAATCCAAGGATGTAATGGCTAATCAGAGACCTGGAACTAAAGGGGTTCAATCCCACTGAAAATTTCACCAGTTATTTAAAATAAACAAGGTGGGTTTGAAATTTTTTTTTAATTTATTTTTTCTTTTTCCTGCAGAGAAGAGACTGTGAAGTGATGTGAGCTGTGGCTTCTCAGGAAAATGTCTACAGTCCAAACAGCAGCAAAAGTTGCAAAAAAAAAAAAAAAAAAAAAAAAAAAAAAAAAAAAAAAAAAAAAAAAAAAAAAAAAAAAAAAAAAAAAAAAAAAAAAAAAAAAAATCTGGCCACAAAGGATTAATCCCCAGTGACATGAACTTCCAGACAGGCATCAAAAGCCTTGGAAGAGGCAAAAAATGGAGGCAGAAAGCTAAAACCTGTTTGGGACACTGGGATGTCTCTGTGGGTATAAATACATACATGGGCATGCCTATAAGGATGTGTCTTCCTGACAAGATGCATTATGTAAAAACATTCTGATGTGGTTTTGCTGCTGTATAAACAGCAATATTCCCATTGATGTGTTGATTTCCTCTGGTTTCAATATTTTGTTTTTATTTCAGTTTAGATACCAGCATTGGGGAGTTTCTACAGCATCCCAGGATATTCTGGGTAGGAGTTTTTTCTTTAGTACCAATGGATTTGTGATTATTTTCCAATTGCACTACACATGTCCATGGACTTTCCCTTTAGTTTTGGCTCTAAGTGCTTTGGTACACAGTGTAAACAGCTCTTGGCACTGATTCCCTGGGCAAGGCAATTGTCCAGTTGATGTCTGGGAATCAGCCAGTTGAGGCTGAAATTAACTTTCACCACCTACAGCTACTTAAAGCAGCCCACCTAGGGATTTTGGAATAGTAGGTTGAAGTAATCACCCTGAGATCTCTGAGCAGCTGCTATAAGTCTTGTAATCAATTGTTTACTGTTACTTTGGACTATTTGTACTTTTTATGTATGAATGGTGGTATGTTCTTGCACACATCGATTCCTTTTGGAAGAGTCAGTTTCCCAATCTGGTTCATCTTTCTTGCTGCTTTGATAAATAAAGCTAGAATAGCAACAAGGTGCCCTGGCATGTGGCTGCCAGGCCACTGAGCTTAGCCAAGGGTGTTCCCCCTTTCTCTGCATCCCTTTGTCTCCTAGACTCTTTTTGTGTCCTTGGTGTGAATGTCACTTCCATCTACACTTTAGTTGGTGTGAATGTCACTTCCATCTACACTTTTAGTTTGTTAACAACATGATTTATATGACAGTGTCATTTAAAAAAAAAAGTGTTTTTTTTTTTTTTTAAGAAACCAACAGTTTTCTTTCTAAACATGAAAAAAAGAAGGAAACCTGTAACCCAAAAAGATGAAGTAAGTTGAAGTTTTATTTGTCAGATGTGTAGTTCTGCAGCTGATGGCAGGCCCTACTTCCAGGATTTTGCAGTGAGCATTAACAGGCAGTACAACACCAGGCAACTCATGGGCAGCATTGTACACCTTTACAGACATGGACATAGGGATACAAGAGGCAGTCCTGACTTTTGTGCCGTTTTTCCTGACTATTTTCTAAGCGTGGTTTTTATTCTGTACCTTTTCCTCCAGAGGGCGGTACTTCCATAAATGTGGAAGGGATAAAAACCTGTGGTGGGGGAGAGGTTTTAGAGAATGAGGGAATTGCTGCACGGTGTGGTGGTAGGAACGACCCAGGGATTTATGAACACACTCACCATGCTGCTTTTAGGAATCCTGAACTCTCTAGAGCAGTGCTTCCTCCTTTCCACTTCTGCAATGGGATTGTCATGTGCTGCTTCTTTTCCTTCATCTCTGAGCACTTAGGGGCTGAGATGGGAGAGCAAAGCTTCTGCTGAAGAATTTCTAGAGCTGTCTTTATGGATCAAGTGACAGATACTTAAAAGAAAAAAGTGATGGATCTTTTGAGTGAGCCAACATATTTAAGAGCTGCTGAAAAAAATTGGGCTCGCAGGAATGAACAATCCCACTCTGTAGTATTGAATCATGAGGGGTAAGTTCTTCCACCCACAAAATAGTTTTTACACTTCAAAACTCCCCCCCCCCCCCATTTCTTCTAATTTTGATGGCTATCAAAAAAAATATTATAAATGTCAAAATTTAGTTGTTACCATGTTATTACTCTGCCTTTAGAAGCTGAGTAAAGCTTCAGAGGCTATACAGTGTTAGTCTGACAGAAATTAAGCCTCATAAATCACCTTGCAGTGCCAGTAGGGAAACAGAAGAAAAGAGATCGGAGTTGGTTATGCAAAGCCACAAGGGGAGGTATGAGAGAGCTGAGAAGAGGACTGATGAAGCAGCAGCCATGCTGTCTTTCCTGGCCACACTAAGACAAGGGAATAAACCCTATAAAGTTTTTTGTATAGTGGAGGCATATATACAAAGCAACAAAACCCCCTCTGTTTGCAGCTCCCTGGGCAGCCCATCCCCTAACACCTTTGGGACTGAGACAAGTCCTGTCCCTCAGGAAAACTGAAACCTGGCCTTGGCTTGCAGTACAGCCCTTTGCTTAGTGATGCCTCACTGCCATACAAACACATTTGTGAGCCTGGTTTACAGTGACTCCTGGGCTGCCCAGCTCATGGCAACGAGGTCTGTTGACTCAGGTAATGTCAGTGAGCCTCACACCACAGAATAATGTTCTTGGGAACTGCTTCTGGTCACTGGTGAGCCTCTTAATCCTTTGGAGTTAGGGAGCAGGAACTCCCTGGCCCCACATAAACAAGACCAGCTGAAAAGTGCAGAGGAAGTGTCCTGTCCCAGTGGCAGCCAAGAGCCTCCCTGTTCACAGACACTGACTCAGCAGCGTTGTACCATTAAAAATTGGTAATGGTTGGATATGAATGAACTCACCCTACTCTCCTGCAATGCCACTTTGGGAAATACAAGCCCCATTTAAAATGGAAATTTATGACACTTGCACTTTTGAGTTCTAATTTCTTAATGATGCAGGATAAAGTACAGCCTCTTTAGCAATATGCTGTCCTTTCCTCCCTGCATTCCCTTCTGGGTGAGTCTGTCAGAAGCTTGTGGAATAGGAGCAAGCCCAAATTGTAGTGTCAAATCCCAGACACTTCATTAAAAGCACATGGAACCTCACTTCTCTGCCTCTCTTCCTTTGCCATTAGAATCTCTAAGAGCTTCCACAGATGGCTGCAGAGCCTCTGCAGTGTGAGTTTGAGGAGTGCTGCAGAGTGGTGCTTTCCTAAGCCTTTACAGGATGAGATCCTGCCTTAGATCAGTAATGGGAAGCCCGGAGACAGCATGGCCAGGAGCTGTGGCAGAAACCTGCTCTGTGCCCTTCTGCTCCCACTTCTCTCTCAGCCCTAATGAAAGCCTGGTACTCCAGGGTGAAAACACACCAATAGTTCTGCAGCCATTCTTTCCTGGACACTGCCCAGCAAACAATTCCCTGGAGGAGGAGAAAGCTGCCAACTGCCCTTTTTCTCTCTCAAAGGGTAGTAGGCAATGACAGAGCTCATGCCTTACATCTGCATAACCACATCCTACCTCCTGACTTTTCATTCTACACTCTCCTCCGGTGCCACTTACCTGCCCAAAAAACAGCAGGGATGTGCTGCAAATACTCTGCTCTGGAACTGGTAACACAAATGGCAACAACAGTTCTTCGTTTTACCTGGCTCTCTGCTGCAGTGCTAGAAGTAATGCCTTAAAATATCACATAGCCCATGAAAACGCTAAGGTGTCTTTTTCTAGAAAACAATACTTTTAAAAACAGGTTCCAAACTAATTGAGCAGGCTAAAGAGAGGGAAAAAAAAATCCCAAAAGATAAAGAGCTCTCCCTAAGGAGTAGAAGTCCTTCAAATAGGGGAAACAACAACAACAACAACAAAAAATGGATTTAAAGGTAAACTTGGTGTAAAAAGAATAAGTGAAAAACTCATTGTAGCCTTCCATTGAGTTACTGACATTCTAACCCTCTATTAATGAAAAAGTCCTGGAGTGGCTGCCACAGGGCAGGGATAAGTAGCTTTCTAGCTGAATTAGGATAATTTCAGTGGCTAAAAGTCATCTGAAGTGTACATAATTTATTGGTGAAGGTCACAGTAAATCTAGAGACAGCATGACAGTGGGTGAAATATGTGAAACTAGGAGATGATGAATCAAGCTCTCATGGCCCTGAGCTGCAGTGAAAGGTTTAATGCTGTTTATTTACCAGACTTGGAGGGATAATTTCCAGATGAATTGGTACATCTGCACTGGTCTGGAAACAGTGTACATTAAACACTGATACTTTATCACAGCCTGCCTCCTCTCAGCTTCTTCACAGTTTGGGAGGGAGTTTGCCTCCATCCTGCTTGGAATCAGTCTAATAGTATTCAGTGGGCAGGAAGATGGAATCAGATTGTGATTCATTTCTAGACAGTATTAAAGGAGAGTCTAAGGCACAACTTGGGCATTATCAATAAACCACAGAATTAAAAATATTGTATAGAGATTTTATATTTAGATATTAAAGCTTTACAAAGTCATTTGATTGAAAGAGATACAAGCTTTTGAGAGATACCTTTGGTATATAACTTTTCCTTCTGCATTTAGTCAGTCATGAACATTATCTACAGTAGGGCTATGACATATAAAAAATAACATATTAGTAAATGATGGGGGGTTGAGAGTTACATAAAAACTTCATGCTGGTTATATTTGTTTGATATGTATCCTGTTGTAGTTCACTCACATAGTATTTTTCAACTATATTTCATGATTCTTTGGCAGCAAATAAAAAGAAAAGTAGTAGTATACCAAAAAGTCAAGTACACAGATAATTCATTAATGCTTTGGATGGAAAAAAATGGCTCATTTTATTAAAAAAGGAATAGCTCAATTTATTACGAAATAATATTTATTTACAGGTATTTTACATTTTTAGAAAATAATAAAATTGTATTCTAAAATGCTTTATTTTTATTACTTATCTGCTTGTACAAAAGAAGCAAAGACACTGTCTTCTTGTTCTAGCAGAACCTCAGGCTTGTCATATTCCAAAATAACCCCTCTCTTCATTACAATAACCAAATCTGAATTGAGGATCGTGTGCACACGGTGCTGAAAAACAAACAAAATGCCAGGTCAGTGCATCTCTCTATTTAATATATTTCAGGATAAGACAGACTTCCACAAATTAATTTTCCTATCCAGTTCAAGTGTGATTAAGGCTACTTATCCTACTTTTCATCCTAATTTCTGTGTAAATACTGCAGATAAATATACAGACCAAGAGCCAGGTGGATACTCAAGTACCTAAAAAATACACAGGTACTTGAGTGTGAGGAGTGCTACAAGTTCCCTTTAGAATGTCCCCAGCCCAGAGTCCTGCTCCCATGTGCAGCCACAAGAAGGCAGCCAGGCAGAGGAGGAACTGGGCAACTGAGTGTGGAACTGCCTGTGGGAAGTTGGGAATTCTCCCAGTCCTGGATTGCAACTGGGTCTGGTGTGGTTCCTGAGCTTGGTGTAGTTTGTCTATTTAGAAAGCTGACCTAGTCAGTTTTACAAGACTTGGGTCATGTCTTCTCTTGAGCTTTCACAATCATTTTGCATCCATCTCCTTTGGAAAAGATTTTTCCATACTTCCTCCC